ATTACCTACAGGCTCTCCTATTCTTCAAGATTTCTTTGTATGGACTGATGAAGCCACTGTGTGGCGAAACGTTTCCTCAATAAAGATACCCAAGAGTTGCACATGTGTCTTAATTTATCAGCAATATTCCAGCCTAGATAGAACAAGTGACCTGAAAAGTGTCATCATGGGCTTGGCCTCCCTAGTTTTGAAGGTTCTCATTATCCATCCTGTCATTTTTCTACAGATGCGATTGATACAATGTTATGGTCCTTGAAGGTGAGATCCTCCGACATAATCACTCCCAGGTCTTTGACGTTGGTGTTTCGCTATATTTTGTGGCCAGAATTTGTTTTGTACTCTGATGAAGATTTAATTTCCTCATGTTTACCATATCTAAGTAATTTGAAATTTCTCATCGTTGAATTCATATTGTTTTCTGCAGCACACTGGAAAGTTTTTGGTTGATGTCCGCCGGGAGCCTTGCAGTGTCTGCAATGAATACACTGTCATGCAGCATTCGGGTGTCATCTGCAAAGGAAGACACGTTGTTGTGTGGCTGACAAATCCTTGTCTATGTCGGATATGAGGATGGGGAAACAAGATGGGAGCGAGTACTGTGCCTTGTGGAACAGAGCTTTTCACCGTAGCTGACTCGGCTTTACTGGTTGACGACTAACTCTCTGTGTTCTGTTAGTGAGGAAATTTTAGATTCCATCGACCGACTTTCCTGTTATTCCTTTAGCACGCATTTTGTGCGCGATTACGCCTATGGTCACACTTGTCGAAGGGCTTTTGCAAAGTCTGTATTATTACACTGCATTCTTTTTGTCTTTTGGCATTTAGGACCTTGTCGTAGTGATCCAATCGTTGTGAAGGACAGGAGCGCCTGTTTCTAAACCCATGTTGCCTGGGTTGTGTACTGATGGGTTTCTTGAGGGGGGGTGATCTTGCTTCTTAGGTGCCTTTCAAGATTTTTATGTTATGGGTGTTAGTGCTTTGGTTCTGTAGTTTTTGCTGTTGCTTTACTGCCCCTTCTGTGGGAGTGGGGGTTTGTCTGTTGTTTTAGTAACTGTGGGACGACCCCCGTGATCCATGCTACATTCCATAGGATGGAATAAGGCTCGTGATAGGGGCTTTCTTTGCAGTTCTTGATGAAACAGTTTTCCATGAGTCTGGCACAGGGGCAGAGTGCATGGGCATGTCATTTATCGCCTGTTCGAAGTCATTTGGCGGCAGGATAACATCGGATAGGCTTGTGTTTATCAAATTTTTGTGGCTCTTCATAAAAAATTCATTTTGATCCTTTCAAAACTCTCAGTCTGGTTAGCGATTGCTTAAAATGAGTCATACTGGACTTGAGTAGCTCACTCATTTCCTTGCTGTCATCTGTTGTTGGACCATCTTGTTTAATAGAGGCCCAATACTGGACGTTGTTCTCGATTTTGATTTGGGCATAGGAAGAAGAAATATTAGGGTTTCTGCGATTCATTTATGGCTTTTTAGTTCTTCCCCGCGATTTCGATTATAAGGATTCTTTTAGTTAAGTTTCGGTGCTTGCTATTTCTCTGTCCAGTGTTCTCCTCTACGCATTTCAGATATATGACCTCTTTTAGCCGCTCTGTTATTCTTTTCCGTCACCTGTATAAAGGAGGAGCGCCTGTCTCTTTTATTTACATCTACTCTCCTTTTTCTTAGAGGAATAAGCTTGTGCTTACATCGGTGCCACCGAGTTAATCTTGTTCTAGGCAATAAGTTGGGTCTGTGTTGCCTTAGTATATCTTCCCAGCTTTATATCGGTTAGGACTTGGTTTACTGGTCCCACTTTATGTTTTTGTTATTGAAGTGAATTTGGTGAATGCTCCCCGTGACTAGTTCATTTTGTCGGGTCTGGGGCTCCAAGCATACATGTCTGAACCTCAATTATGTTGTGATCTGAGTATATTGTTTTTGATATGGTGACATTTCTTATCAGATCATCATTGTTAGTGAAGATGAGGTCTAGTGTATTCTCCAGTCTAGTAGGCTCTATTATATGCTGGTTTAAATTGAATTTTGTGCAGAGATTTAAAAGCTCGTGTGAGTGTGAGTTTTCATCAGAGCCTTACCTACCCATTTGCCAGTTAAAACCGCCTATCCGGGATGATAGCAAACCTCACATTCTGCCCGAGCACATACCTCGGTGTGGGACAAAAGAGAGGGCGGCCGGAAATCCGCCACAAAGCGTACCTCCTTCGGCCATCACCCCCGGAATCCGAAAGGTGGCTTCCAGAGATACACCTGTCACCCGAGACACCCAAAGCCACCCACCGGGATACCGGAGAGGGATCGGGACATCCCCAGGCAATCCAGATTCCACGGCAAACTACGCCACCGCCAAGAACCTCAACGGCCAAAAAGGAAGGGCAAAAGGGAGGGGTGGGGAGGAGGAGGAGGAAAGGAAAAAGGGGAGGATGGGATAGGGAACGGTGGATTGGGGTGGGGTATTAGGTTCGGTATGAGGCAAGGAGGGTACCGACAGGTCTAATTCCTCAGACCAAGAGCCTCTTCACCACGCCAAGGAGCCCCCCTTGAAGAGGGATTGTAGGGAAAAGAATTTAGTCCACTGTATACTTGTAAACGTGGTGTACAAAGGAAGTGGGTGTTGTGTAGGTTGTTTTTGGGTAGACATCGAAGAACTGGTGTCAACAGATGGTCTGGAATGTTTAAGAGTAATAGTGCTGGGTGGCCCAACCTGAGGGAGGAGGGTGATCAAAAAACATCAAACCATATTTCGGGGAAGGGAAGCGGACACATTGTTTATAGGTGTGCAAGAGGCAAAGGCATAACAGAATTGGGTGCGTTTGCCCGGACCTGGAGCAGGTGATGATGCATCACCAGCAGAAGGTGAGGGTATGTGAGATTCTAGAGAACGGCCATAACCGAAGCCAGGCAGAAACAAGGAAGTGGGATACTGAAGTGGCCTGGGAGGAGGAGGATTATCAGAGAATGAAGACTCCATGATAGTGGTGCTTCTTTGTTATTTTAATGAAAAAGAATGGAAAAAAAAAACAAGGAGGGATAGAGGAGGGACAGTCACTAGAAGGCATGGGAGGGCCGTAAATTCAACCTCTCATCTGAGAGGGCCTCAAGCCCACTAGCAGTGTAGATGCAGCATGGAACCAGTGCCATACCCTACCCTTCATGCCAGTAAACAAGCACTCTGGGATAGCAACCTCACATCTACCAAGCAACGTCGGCAAACAAAAGATAGGGCGGTTGGAAACCCGCCACAAAGCATACCCCCTTCGGCTGTCACCTTCCAGAATTAACAGGCAGCCTCTGGAGATACACCCACCATCTGCAGAACATCCTGCCCACTTCTTGGAAATCCGGGAAGGGAGCATGGCATCTCCAGACAATTCAGATTCTATGGCAAACTTCACCACACCCGGGGAACCTCATGGAGTGGGATGAACTCCGGCACACTTCCCCCTACCTAAAAACTGTAATGCAAGAGGGACCCCAGAGACTACAAATGGGATGGGGAAAAGAGGGTTAGGAGGGGGATAGGAAGAGGGGAAAAAGGGGAGATGGGGAGGATGGGATAAGGAAAGGAGAACTGGGGGGTAATTAGGTTTGGTCAGAGGAAGAGGACCAAAAAGTCCAATTCCTCAGACCAACAGCCTCTTTACCGCAACAAGGAGGCTCCCTCACAGCCGCCCTCATTACAAATTTCTCAAAAGGGTCAAATCAGCATCATATTTTATTGCACAATTATATTATTTAAATTTACCCATGCTGAATACATGAAAATTCAAAATTTTCCACTCTCCTTGTCTACCTGCCTCTTCCTCCTTCACCTTCTGCCTGCTTTTCCTTCCCTGTCTGCCTCTCTCTCTCTCTGGACAGCAGAACTCAGTCCTGTATGACTAATGGGTTTAGTTTTTTTTTTTTTTCATTATAATAATCTTTGTCTTTCTTTCTCTCCCACCTTCTCTCCCTCCATTCATCCCCTCCCAGTTATCTGCTTCCCTGCCTCCCTGAAAAAACCCCCCCAAACCTTTTTTTACCAAACAATCCTTCCACGTTAATATCTATGAACTTATCATCATTTCTCTCTGGATATTAACCATGGCACAATATGGAATACTAATAATGCTTGAGGTTCTAAGAAGAGAAATAAGCATGAAAATCCTCTGTATGCTTAAAGAAAAATACTGAAATTATAATAGCCCTGACATTGTATTATCTATGCCCATTTTCTCTGGAAGGAACACTTTTATCCATTTTCTATGGAGACAGTGAACAATAAATGAATCAACCATGCTTCCTTGAGACCTTTTATAAGTGTTAATAAAGTCATTTTTCTCGTTAGATATTGCCCAGATTAAAAGATGAGCCGAACTGTGTTTTTCGGGAAAATCAGAGTAGTCCCTGCAAAAAAAAAAAAAAAAAAAAAAAAAATTCTATCGTATCGTTAGAAAACTAAAATAAAATTGAAGGTGCAAAGAAAATATATTATGACAAGGCAATGAAAAATTTTATTCAATTAAAAATAAATTTTTTAATCATCAATGGTTGTGATGTAATTGTTAGTTTTGCAGTTGATGGTATGACATTATGTGATTCAGATGCTATCTTCCAAGTCTGCCTGCAACTATCACACTAACTTAGGCAGCCTCATCATTCTCAAAGATCTTCATCACTGACTCCAATAAAAAATAACTTCTTTCTTACATGAATCATCCTAAAATAACATAACTTTAAGAGGAAATATGGCAAGAAGAAAATAAAATGGGACATTATTAGCATGCCATGCATATTTGGTAAACAAAATAAAAACATACAACTTTTTCCTCCACATTATAAATAGGAAAAATGGGTTCACATGATTCATTCCCCCAAAAAATAGCACATATCGAAAAAGTAAAATTTGGCAAACACGGACAATAAAATGTGGAATAATTAGCATTTGCCTGCACATATGGTAAAAAATTTAATCAACATATGTAACCTGTCCTCCAATAAACCAGGACCGAAGCAGAACTCCTCTACTCTAAATCTCCTCTTATACGTCGAACCAACTTTATATCACGAGGAAAGATTGTCACTCTTCTGGCATGGATGGAGCACAAGTTAGCCAGTTCCAAAACAGTTGTAACATAACATTCAGCTGCTTCTTGAAGGGCCATTAATGCTAATCCTTGAATTCTGCAATGAAAATAGAATTTGATCAAAATGCTGCCTTAAACAATGTAATTTCTTAATAAAAAAACATGAATTCAAAACTAAGCGCTAAATCCACAAGGGTCATTCAGCACTGAGGAGCATGAAGTGCTAAAGATGCAATATGCTAGATCAGACACCAGCGAGGCTTAACCCTTTCATTGTCGAGACCCCTGCTCATAAACTTGCTCTCAGTGTAGAAAAATATATCAAAAACAATTATTTCTAACCAAAATCTAAAGAAAAATTTTCTGAGTGTTATTAAAGAAAAAAAAATTGCCATCAGTAGTTATCGAGTTATAAAGGCATGGAAGTTGACAGGTGGAAAAAAAAAAAAATAAATTAACCAACTGACAGCAACATCGGCGACTGCTGCTCACTCAGTAATTTTTTTCAAATTCAAATTTATTTATTACTTTGCAAGTAGTACATTGAGATTATGTATTTACAATAATGGGTTGCAGTGCAAAGAGAGCCACTTTCATGCCTAGGCATTATGGGCTGACTTAATTTAATGGTTGCTAGACTTTTTAACACTAAAGAAATTTATCATAGTTGTACAATAGTTCTATTAATTATAAATGAATCTAATTTATATAAATGTATTTCAAAAGCATCTTCAAAAATGCTTTTAATGAAACATGATTCAATTATATTCCTGTCGACAATGGACAATAGGTTCAGAAGTAAATATTGAAATTATATTATGGGAATATTTATTTTTTTTATTTTATTAACACATCAGCCAATTCCCACCATGGCAGGGTGGCCCAAAAAAGAAAAACTTTCATCATCATTCACCCCATCACTGTCTTGCCAGAAGGGTGCTTTACACTACAGTTTAAAAAAACTGCCAACTTTTACACCCCTTTCTTCAGAGTACAGACACTATTATTCCCATCTCAGGACTTCAAGTCTGGCCTGCCGGTTTCCCTGAATCCCTTAATAAATGTTACTTTGCTCACACTCCAACAGCACATCAAGTATTAAAAGCCATTTGTCTCCATTCACTCCTATCAAACACGCTCACGCATGCTTGCTGGAAGTCCAAACCTCTCACACACAAAAACCTTCTTTACCCCTCCTTCAACTTTGTCTAGGCCCGTCCTATCCGCTTCCCTCCCAATACAGATTTATACACTCTCGAAGTCATTCTGTTTCGTTTCGTTATGTTTTTGTCCCTTATATTTTGATAGTATGGTTCTCACTACATGTTCTGGTGTGGGGTAGCTTTTACATAAAGGCTTTAACAGTCTTAGGGTAATACTTCATTCATGATTAATCATCTGGCGTTTACCCTGGGTCTTACCTGGATGAGAGTTTCGGGGGTCACCGCCCCCGCGGCCGGTCTTGACCAGGCCTCCTGGTGGATCAGGCGATGATCAAACAGGCCTGTTGCTGCTGGTTCTGCACGCAAACCAACGTACGAGCCCACAGCCCGGCTGATCAGGGAACTGTCTTTAGGTGCTTGTCAGTGCCAGCTTCTTGAAGACTGCCAGGGGGTTTGTTGGTAATTCCCCCTTATGTGTGCTGGGAGGCAGTTGAAAGTCTCGGCCCCTGACACTTATTGTTGGTCTTTAACGTGCTAGTGGACACCCCTGCTTTTTCATTGGAGGGGATGTTGGCATCGTCTGCACAGTTCTTTGCTTTCGTTTAGTGAGTGAATTTTCGTGTGCAAGTTTGGTACTAGTCCCTCTAGGATTTCCAGGTGTATATAATCATGTATCTTCCCTCCTGCGTTCCAGGGAATTCAGGTTTAGAAACCTCAAGACGCTCCCAGTCATTGTGGTGTTTTATCTCCGTTTATGCGACGCGTGAAAGTTTGAAAGTTCTCTGTACGTTTTCTAGGTCGGCATTTCACTGCCTTGAAAGGTGCTGTTAGAGTGCAGCAATATTTCAGCTAGATAGAGAAACTAGTGACCTGTAGAGTGTCATCATGGGCTTGGCCTCCCTAGTTTTTGAAGGTTCTCATTATCCATCCTGTTCACTTTTTCTAGCAGATGACGATTGATACAATGTTATGGTCCTTGAAGGTGAGATCCCCCGACATAATCATTTCCTAGGTCTTTGACGTTGGTGTTCGCTCTATTTTGTGGCCAGAATTTGTTTTGTTTTCCTTTATGAAGATTTAATTTCCTCATGTTTACCATATCTGAGTAATTGAAATTTCTCATCGTTGAACTTCAATTGTTTTCTGCAGCCACTGAAAGATTTGGTTGATGTCCGCCTGGAGCCTTGCAGTGTCTGCAATGGAAGACACTGTCATGCAGATTCGGGTGTCATCTGCAAAGGAAGACACGGTGCCCGTGGCTGACATCCTTGTCTATGTCGGATATGAGGATGAGGAACAAGATGGGAGCTAGTACTGTGCCTTGTGGGACAGAGCTTTTCACCGTAGCTGCCTCGGACTTTACTCTGTTGACGACTACTCTCTGTGTCTGTTAGTGGGTAGGAAATTATAGGGTCCACGACCCACTTTTTCCTGTTATTCCTTTTTGCGCGCATTTTGTGCGCTATTACGCCATGGTCACACTTGTCGAAGGTTTTTTGCAAAGTCTGTATATATTACATCTGCATTCTTTTTGTCTTCTAGTGCATTTAGGACCTTGTCGTAGTGATCAGTAGTTGAGACAGACAGGAGCGGACCTGTTCTAAACCCATTTTGCCCGGGGTTTGTGTAACTGAGGGGTTTTCTAGATGGGTGGTGATCTTGTTCTTAGGACCCTTTCAAAGATTTTTATGATAGGGGAATGTTAGTGCAAATTGGTCTGTAGTTCTTTGCTTTTGGCTTTACTGCCCCCTTTGTGGAGTGGGGCTATGTCTGTTGTTTTATTTAACTGAGGGACGACCCCCGTGTCCATGCTCCCTCTCCATAGGATGGAAAAGGCTCGTGATAGGGGCTTCTTGCAGTTCTTGTGAACACAGATTTCCCATGAGTCTGGCCCTGGGCAGAGTGCAGGGGCCCTGTCATTTATCGCCTGTTCGAAGTCATTTGGCGTAGGATAACATCGGATAGGCTTGTGTTAGTCAAATTTTGTGGCTCTCTCATAAAAAATTCTTTTTGGGTTCTTCGACTCTCATTTGGGTTTAGGGGCTTGCTAAAAACTGAGTCATATTGGGACTTGAGTAGTCACTCATTTCCTTGCTGTCATCTGTGTAGGACCCATCTTGTTTAAGTAGGGGCCCAATACTGGACGTTGTTCTCGATTTTGATTTGGCATAGGAGAAGAAATACTTTGGGTTTCTTTCGATTTCATTTATGGCTTTTAGTTCTTCCCCCGATTCCTGACTCCTAAAGGATTCTTTTTGCTTAAGTTTGATGCTTGCTATTTCTTGACCATTTTCTCCCTGCGCATTTCAGATAAAATTGACCTCTTTTAGCCGCTCTGTTATTCTTTTCCGTCGCCTGTAAAGGGAGCGCCTGTCTCTTTCTATTTTAAAATCTACTCCTCCTTTTTCTTAGAGGAATAAGCCTTGTGCAACATCGAGTGCCACCGAGTTAATCTTTTTAGGGATAAGTTTGGGTCTGTGTTGCTTAGTATATCTTCCCGCTTATATCGGTTAGGACTTGGTTTACTTGGTCCCACTTTATGTTTTTGTTATTGAAGTTAAAAATTTGGTGAATGCTCCCTCATGACTAGTCTCATTTTGTCGGTCGGGGGCTCCATGCATAAAATGTCTAAACCTAAATTATGTTGTGATCTGAGTATATTGTTTTTGATATGGTGACATTTCTTATCAGATCATCATTGTTAGTGAAGATGAGGTCTAGTGTATTCTCCAGTTTGTAGGCTCTATTATTTGCTGGTTTAAATTGAATTTTGTGCAGAGATTTAAAAGCTCGTGTGAGTGTGAGTTTTCATCAGAGCTGCCTCCTGGTGTTTTTTTCTGCAACAATATTATTTGCTATATTCCTCCATTTTAGGTGCCTTAAGTTGAAATCCCCAGGGCAAGATGTTGGGTGCAGGAGCTGGAAGTTTTTCCCAGACAGTGGTCAATTTTTAACAGCTGTTCCTGGAATTGCTGGGATGTTGCATCCGGAGGCTTGTAGACTACCACAATGACTGGGTTTTGGTTCTCGACCTTTACTTTCTAAAACTTCCACTACGTCATTTGAGGCATTAAGCAGTTCTGTGCAAACAAGTGACTCTGCAATGTACAGGCCAACCCCCCCCCTTTTTCCTGTTCACTCTGTCACTCTGTATAGGTTGTAACCTGGGATCCATACTTCTTGTCCAAGTGATCCTTTATGTGGGTCTCAGTGAAAGCCGCGAACATTGCCTTTGCCTCTGCAAGCAGTCCACGGATGAAAGGTTTTTTTGTTGTTTGTAGCTGGCTTTAGACCCTGTATATTTGCAAAGAAGAATGTTTCGGACTGGTGGGATTGTTGGTACTGGGGGGGATTTTTTTTCCGGCATTAGTATCTGTATCTGTTGGTTTGGAGTGGAGGCCATCGACTGTGGTTCCACTCCAGGAATGACTGGATTTGGTGTACGATTTCTGCCATTTCCTGCCAGTTTTTTTTCCTTCCTGGCACTAAAAAACCTCTCCCTCTTGAGTGGCTGTGGCTACCCGTTTTCCCCTGGCCTGGATGTTTTGTATCTTTTGTCCCCTTTAGATGGTATGCCTGGCAATTTAAGTTATAGCACAGTCTTCCTGTACTGAAGAGGTACACATTTCAGGGTGAAAAAGCTTACAGGAAGGGAGTTTGCATTTTCCTGTTTTCATATGGGCATGGCATTTTCTAGGGTGGTCATAGTTGCATGTCCCATCTGTTTTTCCAGATTTCCCATGCCAGCAGATACCAAGTGCATAGTATGTGCACAGTCTTGGTTTCCGCTTGCCTTGGGTTTCTGTGACTGTATTCCCTGTTGGTGCATGTTTCCCTGTCTTACTTCTATCCTCCCTAGCACCAACAATGGAGCTCCCACCAGTTGTTTTTGGTAATTTATGCCTCTGAAATCCTTTCACCAGCCCTCTTCACA